TTACTGAGCACTTACTATATGCTAAGCTTTTCAAAGTTAAATCCTCATGATCACCCCAAGAGGTGGATGAGCACAGTGATTAGGAGGAATAGGTATGGTGGGGTTGAATCCATGTCACATTCCTTATCTGTATGACTTTGGGCATACTGATTAATTTCTCTAACCTCCAGTTTCATCATCTCTAAAATGGAGATAATAGTAGAATTTGCTTATTGTTTAATTTCAAGGGCTAACTAAGATGATGTGGGTAGGAAAAAGAGCAAACATGTGTTACCTGTTGTATGTGCTGGATATCGTGCTGAGTGCTTTATAGGTGTGATTTCTCAAAACCTTAACTATGGAAAAGTCATGTGTGGTATCTGCTGTATAAGTGATTAAGGCCATAGCCATGTTGGATGGAGCCATGACTTTCCCCGGGTCTGTGTGGCTCTGAAGCCCGAGCTGTCATCACCATGGGGTCCTATTCATCTGTGTAGAGATCAGGGGAGTCTCAGAGATGCTTGTGGGGCAAGAGGTGTGCAGGGTACAAAGGTCAGGAGCTTTGCAGGGGTTTTCAGGGGATGGTGGAAGTGAGATAGGAGGGAGCCAAGGAGAATGTGGGGCAAATGTAGGATAATAATTCCTGAAGCAGGACCTGGAAGGGAAGGACAGAGACAGGCAGTGGTGCAGCCCCGGGCAGGAGGGCCTCTAAAGGCATCCCCAACAATTCACAGCACAGAACCGGATGGCCACTGTGTGCCAGGCTGGGGCCAACCAAGGTCAGTGTGCCTTGCTCTACCAGGAAAGTGGAGGCCTGGCTTCAGGCACCTGTAGGCCAGCGTGAAGCCTATGGATCCATCTCCGGGGCAGTGGAAGTCACTAGAGAGCCCAAAGATGCCCAGTAGTCAAGTGGTCAGGTGCATCTGGGTGAAGAATGCATGGGGGCAGGGAGTGGTAGTGGGGCAGGATTGGGTGGGGAAGGAGGCATGGAGAAAGTCTGAAAATATCAGAGATCAAAAATAATCACCTACAGTGTCCAAACCAGCCCTCTGGCCTGGTGATGGCAGATTCCAGAGCAGGTGAAGTTATTGCCTGTGATATAACTTCCTTGAGCAGGGAAGTTCCTGCTTGTAATGGTGATAACTGCTACCATTTATTAATTTCCACCCCTCTGTCAGACATCTTAAATACTAATTTCTAATTGTAAATAAACTGAGGCTCTGGGAGGTGAGGTAATAGTTTAAGCAGTGGTAAGGCCAGAATTCAAACAAATGTGAGCTTTTGACCCACCATCTTTCCAAGATACAAATTTGCTTAATATCCTCCCTAAAGGGGTGAAAATATTTGACCATCTCTGACTTTTTTCATAGGTAAAACATACATTTTTGTACAAGATATCACATATTTATGAATGTGTCCTCTTCCTTGAGGTCTAGAGCCCCAGTTCTTCTATCTCATCACTACAAAGAGTGTCCAATTTCTGACACTTCTGTGCCTTTATGAACACATTCATATGTGGGACTTCATTCATAAAAATGAAGTGTACCCCATTATGTTGGCTGTGATGCAATTGCTTGTCTTCCCTCAATTTGTGTATAATGAGTGGTGTCTGTTTGCTTGCATAAGAAGGTGATTTCTTCCTGTCTTTTCAATATAACAGAGAGCCTGTGATGCACATCACATCTTGGCTTAAGGTTTATTTAACAACAAAAGTATTTTATTTCTCTTCTATCTTTGCAGCAGAGAGGATTTCTGGACTGGAAGATTTTGTGTTAAATTATACTCTTGTAACATGAGCACGCCCAGCTACCTCTTTGATATTGACTTAACTTTCTGGGAAGATATAGACAGCTCTAACTTCCTTCAGGACAGGAGTCGTGGGTGCATGATTCTGGGGGGGACATAGATTTGGCATGGAAAGCTCCAGGCTGGGGCTGACAGGAGTTGCTGAGAATAGCTGTGGTTACTTTCTCCATGGGATTGCTAACATCATTCTTCCCCTAGTGTGGCAGTGGCAGCCTGGCAGGAGTCAGATCACCTGGTTTCAGATCTTGGTTCTGCTACTGAATAGAGGTATAAGCTTGGACAAATATTTTTAGCTTTCTAAGCCTCAGTCTAGCTGTTTGCAAAAGATTGGCTTAGGCTGGATTCTTCCAATGACCTGTGATTGTCCTACTGGCTTTCTTTGTAAGGGAGTCCTGTGACTAGACTTCAGGGACAGCTTTCTTGCCACAGGTACCTTCCTTCCCTCCTCCAGGAAGTCTTCCATGAACCATTCCTACTTCCAAGACTGGGTTAGGAGAATACTGGAACTCCTCAGTACCTCCACCCTGAAATAGCGGTTTCCTGATCTGTCTCACGCATCAGACCTCAAGCTCCCTGAGGGTCCAGACCAAGTTCCCTTGGTAGTTGGCACGAGACACAGAGTGGTGACAACCTCACAGTAGCTCTCCCATGTTCTGAATGCACACAGCACTCCTGCACAAAACTGCCACCTATTGACAAAACTGCCACCTATTGACAAAACTGCCACCTATTGACATTAATGCCCACTTCTGGTAGAAGAGGAAATAGGCTCAAAGAAGAGAAGCCACAAGCCTATCTTCCCAAGGCCAGACGTATCTAAGAGCCAAATGCTGGGATGGAGCCCAAGGCCCTCACTCTGAGCTCCATCCCCGGCCCATTTGAAACATTTTAATTCTGAGACAAAGTCTCACTAAGTCACTAAATTGCCCAGGTTGGGCTTGAACTTGTGCTCCTCCTATCTCAGCCTACTAGGATAACAGGAACACAACACCCTGCCCACCTGGTTTTCCGTTTTGAATGCTCCTTCCCCACCCCAGCAGATCCCTCCAGATCCACTCTCTGCCCTTCTCAGCCCTGCTCTGCCTGGCCAGGCTGACTTCTGGGCCTGGCTGCTTGCTGGCATCTTTGTGGCCTGGCTCCCAGTTGAGCCTGGTTAGAGGGATCAGGGTTAGCTGGGCGGGGACAGTGCCAGTCTTCCCTGCCTCCTGTGGTTCTTTCCACACCTTTCTTTGCTGAGTTCTTCACCCTCAGGGAGGCCTCTCCTAGGCTCCCATTCTTCCTGGGCTCCTCTGAGATGTCACTGGCCCCTCATGGCAAGGGATGGTCAGTAGCTGGCTTCCTGCTCCTACCCCTGAATGCTTTCAGTGCTTTGCTGTCTTCCAGTTTGTGCATCTTGGCAAACAAGCTCTTCTTCAAATGTCATTCTTTCTCTTCTTTAAGTGTTCTTCTCGTTTATGCTCTCTTCTTGAGTGTCTAGCTGCTTCTTTTCAGGATCTTGATTGCTACCCACGCCCCAGCCTCAGCCCTATTTCTCTGTCTCTCTATTCTGATGCACTGAGAGTTCCATAGCCTAGTCAAAGGACAGCCCCAAATGTCTCCACATGTTCCCTCATGAGGAAGTTGGTTTTCCTACAGTGGGGTGCCTAGCATTAGCCTGTTCATTCCTCAAGCACTTAAGTTGGGCAGGCACAGGGATAGGCTTTGGAGTGCTATAAAGACATTCAGGGTTCCCATCTAATGATACCTCCCTTCCTTAGATTGTGGTGTCCACTCATGGTCTACTAAATGGACAGAAACCTTCACTGGCTTCTGCTGGCATGGGGGACTCTCAGACATCATCCTAGGGATCCCAACACATTTTGGGGTTCCCTTCAGAACCCAGGAGTGCACAGGCTGCTGGAGGCCTCTCAGCGCCTCAGCCAAGAACACCCGTCTCCTTCTGCCTGAAGAGGGACAGCATCCCCACGTGCCTACTTCCTTCTTGTGGAAACCAGCTGTGGGGTGGTCTTGCGGATTCACCTCTCACATCAGCAGCATTTCCAGGTTGTGTGCATATTTCTACATTTTATGAGCGATGTCCAGTTGCCAAGATTGCAGCTGTCTGTAGCCCTAATGGGGCTACGAGAGCCACACATTAGCCTTGCTTTCCCTCTGCTTGGGAGCTGGCCAGGATTGCTTACAGTCTGGCTTCCTGATGAAACCAATGATTTTTTCCTTTAGATTTTAATCTTTTGGATTGAAATTCAATCAAAATTATGCAGGAGCATTTAGAAAATTACTTAAATAACTTTAAAAAAATGCTTTTAGGCCCTTTTGTTGATGTTCCTACTCCTGAACTGTAAGTTTTCTCCTTGACACCTGTATCCTTAAATCCCTCACCACTGGTTTTGCTAAACCCTACATCCCTTTTTTGGCTAACCTCTTCCCAGCCTTAGCAAGATCTCAGAGTTAGACAATCAAGCAGAAGGTTCTTTATTATTGAAAAATAATATCTCCAAAAGAATTAAGATGTGTTATGTACATGTACCAACTCACTGCTAGGAATGTAATCATTATGTACTGCAAACATGTACTAATAAAAAAATAAAAATGGAAAGAAAAGGGAAATCAATATTTCTAAACCAAAGAAAGGAAACTGGTTAAATAAAATATAGCACATACATATAGGAATATATGTTACCCATATCATCATACAGCTGTGAATTTATTAACGTATAAATAAAATCATAATATATTATGAAACTCAGCATGACATTTTATTAAAATAATATAGAAGTATACACTCCAAACTGTTAATAGTTGTTCTCTCTAAACATTTATGAGTAATGATGATTTTCTTCATTACTTAATCTGTGACTTTTTTTCAATGATCATGTGTCAGTTATGTAATTTAAATTTTTTTCATAGAAAAGAAATGTTCCGAAATTGTGAGTACACTAGGATTATAATTCTCTAAAAAAATTCTCTAAAATTCGCTAAAAAATAATTCTCGAAAAATAACTTAAAGTTATTCCAATATCAACATTGAAAGGACAATTCATTCCCTGAAGTATGGAAATACTGAGGAGAACTCACTGATCCCCGCTCCCCAGTCCGTGTTTCCTTTGCAAGTCAAGTAAGGACCGTGATGTCCCAAGGGCTCTGGCCAAAGCTGGAGTAGGGGCTGTGGCCGGCAGAGTCGGCGGAGGAGGCTCAGGTGGAGAGGAGCTGCTTACCTGCTGGAACTGTACGCAGTCATCGCCTTGGGCCCAGAGCTGGCTGACCAGCAGGTAGGCTGTGAGCGCCGTGAGGATGGGGAGCGACACCAGGCAGCAGGTGAGAAGGCAGCACACGCTGCTGCTCCTGGCTCCCAGCCTGGCTCTGGCCTTGGGCCCACGACCACAACCCTTCTTGGACAGCATTTCCATGCTGGCTGCCTCCCCAAAGCCCAGCTCCAGGTCATCTGCCATGCTGCTGCTGTCTTGGAGGTGCCTGTGACTTGGCCTTGTCAGAGATCCCCATTAAATAGGGGAGAACCTTGCACAGTGGGCGAGTTAATCACTCTGCCTTCTCCTCCCCTTTCCCTCTCCCCCTGGCCCTGCCCTGCTAGGGAATGCACCGCCTACAACAGAAACCAAATTTGGTTTAAGAGGAAAAAAAAAAGAAGAAGAAGGAGAAGAGAAGAAAGCTTTCCCAAGCAGATTTATATACAGTCTGTTCATGTGCTCCTTCCTTCGTTTACAGAAGGAAGTTAGGAAAGTCCCTGGAGGAGGAGAAAAAGAATTCATGAGGGCAGTGGGAGGAGCAAATGAGGATCTACCTGTCGCCTGCACTGGAGCCCTGCCAGCTGTGCCCGCCTAGGGAGTGTGAGTGTGTTGTTGCTGGAAGTGAAAGTGAGGGCAGGGGAGGTATGTGGCTCCTGGACAGGGAAATGGGAGTCCTGGTTGCATCAGCACTTCCAAAGTGCTGCCAAGTCTCTCTCTCTCTCTCTCTCTCTCTCTCTCTCTCTCTCTCTCTCTCTCTCTCTCTTTCTCCACACCAAGCATTAAATCCCAGGCTTTGGCACTGAGCTACATCCCCAGCCATTTTACAATTTTTTATTTGAGACAGGGTCTCACTAAGTCGCTAAGTTTCCCAGGCCAGGCTGGAACTTTGATCCTCCTGTCTCAGCTTCCCAGGATGCTGGGATTACAGGCATGCGCCACCACTCTAGGCCCCTTTATCTTTTTGAACCTGACAGCAATTTGTTCCCATTATAGCACTGGGAATATTGACTTTCTGGAAAGTGAGAGCACTTGCCCTAGGTCATCCAAGGATTAAGACAGAGGAGGCAGGAAGAAAACCTACTCTTTTAAGTCATGGTGTGGGGTTCTGGCCTCAACCACACACAGATGCCTATGAGAGGAAGGGGTATTTCTAGCTTGTACTAACAACCGTCTAAGCAGGGAGGATGAGGTTGCAGGGAGAGGTGACTGTCAGTGGGGAAAGAACATTCCTCCTACGCCCCGATTACTCTGAAATTAACTGAGCATCAGTGGTAAGTCTTGCCCATGTTGCCTGTGTGGGGGCTATGCCATGTCATACAGGGTAACATTAATTAAGTACTTACTTTGTGCCAGTGACGGCTTGAAATGAAATGTGTTAATGACATTATTCAATCCTGGGATAATGTTTTGTGGTAGCAATATTATTATTCCCATTTTGCTGATGAGGCAACTCTATTATATAAAGTTGGTGACAAGGCTGGGCTTGGGACTCTGGCAGGCTGGCTGCGCAGCTTCCTGGCCATCACATACACTACATGTGCTGCGGTTTGGTGCACGTGCAGACCTGCCTACCAGGAGAAGCTAATTTCTCCAGTGAGGGCATTGAGAGGGCTTCCTGGAGAAAGATGCAACATTGGGACTAAGCCTGGAGGTTAGGTAGCAGTGATGATACCAGAGGAGGGATGTGGACCCTGGATCCAGGTGGGTGACAGAAATCAGAGGGTGAAGGCAGTGGCCTGTGGCCCGTGGCAGAGACCAGGTCTATAGAGCCTCTATTCTGCTTCCTGCCAAGCCCACACACTCTGGGCCACAGGATAGGGCCTTTGCTGGGCTGGCCGTTGGTCGCTGCCATCGCCCTCCCCAAGGCCCAGCCTCATCTCTTCCTGCCCTCCCAGCTTGCAGTCCCTTGGATCCACCACGGACCAGCTGGACTTTGCATGCTGCTTCCTCTGTGTGGAAGCTTCCAGTCTCTCTTCGTATCTCCATGGTTCCCTCTTCCTCAACAGTGTGCAGAAACCTTGCTTGCATCCCCCTCTTCCACACGGTGAGATGCTCATCTTTATGCTCTTGTACATTTCCGACCCTCCCCTGTCACTGAACGCTTCATCCTAGACTGGGCTTGGCTGGTTTTCTGACTTGCTCCGTAGTAGATCATCAGATCAGGCAGGATGGTGCTAAGCCGAAGCCTTTCCCTGTAGCTGTTGATCCTGTCACAGGCACTGTCCCTTCATAGGCTCATAACTAAAAATCACAGAACTAAGCATCTATTGTGTTTTCAAAGGATTCCAGGAAAGGGTGGTTGTAATGTCTGTCAGCTACTTTTATTTCCTTTAACAAATCTATTTAGACACTATTCTTTGAGAATAGCCTAAATCTTTGCTATAGTAACTGAACATCCCTCTTGATGACTGAATAGTGTTTCATGGTATGAATGCATCACGGTTTTGTTCAGCTGTTCACACATTGAAGATATTTGGGTTATTTCCCATTTTGAGTTCTCATAAATAAAGCTGTCATAGTCCTATGAACAGGTTTTGTGCCAACTTGTTTTCATTTCTCTGGTATAAGTGCTCAAGAGTGACATTGTAGGCTGAATGGTAAGCATATGTTAAGTGTGTGGGCAAGTGCTGTACCCTGATCCAGAGGGACTGTGTGGTTTTACTCCCACCAGCAATGTGTGAAAGATCTAACATCCCTTTCCAGTGCTTGGTGTTATCACTATTTCTTATTTTATCCGTTCTTATATGTGTGTAGTAATATCTTACTGTGTTATTCATTTGCATTTCCCTAATGGCTAATAATATTGGGCATCATTTCATGTGCTTATTTGTCATCTGCACGTCCTCTTTGGTAAAATAGACATCTGTTTTTGTTGTTGCAAGTACTTCTTCCTTCCTTCTTTAGTCCCAGTGGATTCAAAGACAAAAGCTAAACAGCTTACATATAAATGATGAGTTACTGCCCTTGAGTGCCTACTATGTACAAGGCAGTAATTTATATACTGGGGATACATTTTTCAGCAATTAATCCTTAATATCTAAAATTGTTTTTGCAGTACTGAGGGTTGAACCCAAGGCCTTTGCACTGAACTACATCTCCAGCCCTTTTAAATTTTGAGACAAGATCTCTTAGTGTTGCTAAGTTGCCCAGCCTGGGATTGAACTCACAGTCCTTCTGCCCCAGGGTGCTGGGATAGTGGGCATGATTACCACACCTAGCTCCTAGTGTGTTTTGACTTTTGCAACATCCATAGCCTTTCTGCAAGGTGTTAATCCAGGGCTCAGCTCCATTTACCTGGGATGGCACTGATGCCTGCAGAGCTTCCCCTCTCTGGTTCTTTTGGGAAATGAACTGTTTGATGAAAGAGAATTTTTCAATGGCTGCTCCACAGCCCTCTGAATAACAACAACAAAAATGCAAGCATTTAAATGGGAAACCTTTGTAAAATACTGTTCAGAGCAGAATGTGTGTGTGTGTGTGTGTGTGTGTGTGTGTGTGTGTACTATCCACTGGGTCCTCTGTAGCTATTGAACCACATAAAGCAATGTTGTTCCTGTGCTGAATGTACCCTGGAAATTAGGCTTTTCAGATTTTTTCTTCTTTTCTTTTCCGAATCCCTCTCTTTCTTTTGTGCTTGGTGTATGTCTAGCTCCCCTTTGGAATGATCAAGTTCTCAAGTGAGCTAGAACCAACTATTCCACTTCTAGGCATAGTGGAACTCTTTTTTTTTTTAAAAAAACCAAATACATTTTGCTCATTTAATGATACCATTAAGAAATACCTGTCAGCCAACAATGCAGGAGGCTGAAACAGGAAGATTATAAACATGAGTCCTGCCTGGGAGATTTGGCAAGACCCTGTCTCAAAATAAAAAAGGGGGCTTGAGATGTAGCTCAGTGGTAGAGCACCCCTAGGTTTGAGCCTCAGAACTGGAAAAAAAGGCAAGACACAATTAGTTGCAGTACCTATAATCAACAAGGACTTATCCAAAATAGATAAAGAAGTACAAATCCACAAGAAAAAGAGAAGCAAGCTATTACAAAAATGAATCAGAGATTTAATCAGGAGTGTCTTCAAAAAATACACCAAATTACTTAAAGACTCAAAGATTCTCAATCTCATACCAACCAGAGAAACAGAAATCATTATGAGACATGAGTACCCATGCATTAGAATTGCTAAGAAAAATGACCCCAGTGCTAGGTGTTAGCAAAGCTGGGAATGGGATAGCAGAACTTGTGTATTTTTTTTCAACAGGGAGACGCATGAAGAAGAATTTTTGTTGTAGTGGTCATTGCAGTAGCAAAGACCTAGATGTGAACATATGTGTCACCAGGAGAGGTGGGGAAGGCCCTGTGGTACAGCCATACAATGCAGTGTTGTACAATTGTCTAAATGGAGGAAAATCACCACCACACCTCAATACAGGTGTGTCTTAGCACAGTAATACTAAGGGAGGAAACAATTTCCCAAAATTATATAGAGAAGTGTTTATGTGAAGTTAAAAATAATACACAAGATGAAGGAATCAGGAAAGGGCAAATTGATGGTGATGGTGATGGGCCTCATGTGATGTCATATGACACTCCAACGTCCTAGCTTTCATATTATGCAACAGGTTAATAGGCACTTATAATATTGTAGCCAATTAACTAACTAAATAAACACAAGCATTTCTAGTATGACGGTAAGATAAGATCCAAGGATTGTGATGATTCCAATTCAGTGTCACTGTGTGTGTTCCTAACAGGCATTCCAATGAATCATGTGATTTCAGAGGTTTGTTTTGGCTTCCTGGAGGAACTTGTAAATTTTCTTTTGAATTCTTGACTCTGGTTCAGACAGATGTTCCCAGATACTTGAGGTTTTGTTGAACCTGGCCCAGTTGTTAAAACTAATAAGCATTCGCTTAGAAAGGCCTGGGGTCGGGGTTTGTATCTGGTGACCATGTGTTTCTGGTCATGTATAGGAGGAGACTGCAGAGGTTGGGAGAACAGTGGAGTGAAGAGCTGGGAGGTGAGAGATTACCAGGAAGTGCCGTCTGCATGTTCTCAGGAAGCAGGATGAAGTCCTGGCCAGGCATCCAGAGCCTTTCTTTGGACCCCTTTTCCCTTCTGTGGCCCATATCTGTGGTTATTCTCCCATCCCCAGGGCACCTATTTGATGCTGTGGACTCTGCCAGACACTGACACTGGCCAGATAGGACCCAGATCTGAGGTTGGAGGTTATTGTTTTGTTCACCAGTATTACCCTCCTTCCCAGATGGACAGGACTGGCTTTTGGGCTGTACTAACCTGAGTGGTTCTTGCTATT